GAGCTTGTATTTATTACACCATGTTTTGATTTTTTATTCTCCTAAATATTTTAAATACAATTTCTCTATTTTTACTTATATTTCCTTTATCTATCAAATATTTTTTTGTTTCTAGACTTTATTGTTATATTAATGTAGAATTACTTTTGAAGAAACTAAATATAAAGTTTTCTAGTGATGAGTAGGATGAAATGCTTAAAAAGCTAAAATCTTGATATCAACAAACTAGACTTTGTAGAAATTTATATCATAAATCTATGACAATGGTGTCATTTTATATGTTGTTTTGCTTGGGAATGCACTAGGCACCTGGCTTTAGAAGATAAAGTTATATTTTACAAGTATTCAAGAAATTATAATAGGTTTCAACCATGTAAATATAAAATAATTTCAATTTCAATGCAAAAGACTTAGAGCCAATACAAAGTGCTCAAAAACACTCTTCTTATCAACCTCAAGTAAGAACAAATCCAAATTACTTTGTAACTTTTACCTCGTTGCAACTTTCTATTTTCTTTCCAAATCCTAATTTTAGATAGGAAGCTTCAACAAGCTGTAATTCTTAATCAAATTATTTAATTGATGCAAAATTCTTCCTACTAGTGTCATTGCAAGTCTTCTATAATCTCAAGAATTTTCAAATTAATTCAACTTACAAATTGTGAAAAAATAGCATAAATTCACACTGATGTCTCTTAGCTATCACATTAAAAGTTAATGACAAATTTCAAATAGCAATTTCTCCTTCTACAATAATTAACTTCTACTCAAAATTTACATACAACTTAGCCTTCAAGTCTTCTAATACCATGTTAAATTTCACCTTGTTCCAACTAATAGATCTCCAGATATTACAAAAATCCTAATCAATCCTAAACTACCAACTTTCGATACCTCATTGCACAAATGATTGAATATCTTCAAACTGCATTGTTAGAATAACACAAAATTTTATATATACTTATGATATCCAAATAAACATACACTGACAGATTTTGAACTGTAGATGTTGCATTGATTGCATAAATCAACTGAGAGTGCTATCCCTAATTTTATTTTATAATTCCCAAGTCACTAATACAAACATTAGCCTTGAATAATGATTACAAAGACTTCCCAAAACCTAAGAAAATAAGCTTTATACCTTTTGAATGAGCTTATTGCTAACTTTTTGATCTCATTTGCCAAACTCTACAAATCATACTCCTTTTTGTCTCATGTCATCATTTTAGTAGCTAGAGGATTGATTTTGACCATGACCTAGAAATGGTCATTCTTCAAGTATCAATCCAACTTATCATAGAGTTTTTTAAGTACAACCCTATCCTCACTTTTATCCTAATATCAACCATATTAATTATTTATCTCATCTATCTTATTTTTACTAATTTATTGCCTTTTTAAGACAATAAAAGAGTTTCTACAGCCTAGAAGGAAAAATTGATAACTAATTTTTATCTACTAGCTATTAAGCCAAGTAAATGATCTAAGATATTTTCATAAAGTCTTTCTTAATAGTCTTGAGTTTTTATTAAACTAAGATGATTGAATATTAATGAAAAATTGATTTTGTTTATATTTTCACTATACAGTCATGTTACAACATGATAACAACACTCATTCAACTAGTCTTTATTTAAGACACATCTCACATATACTTGCCCTTGATACTTGTAAGATAAGTTCCAATAGCCATGTAGTATATCTATTAAAATCTAAAGATTTAATTTGTATCTATAAAACAATTTTAGAACTTCTTTCAAGAAGATGTTATATGTCAAGAAAATTTTTACCTACTTCTATTTACTTCTAATTATTGTATTAATATAAGAATTCATTACACATTTCATCAAAGATAATCTAAATCTAAAGCAAAACATATTTTAAATAACAAGAAAAAAAAAATAAAAGATAGTATCTTGTAACCTCTAAAATCAAATGATAATGTCTACACAATAAATAAATCAATCAATCAGTCAATCAATCAATTCTACATTTTTTTACAATAAAATATCAAAAACAATAACAATAACAATAAAACACTAAAAAATAGAATTATTATATTAATCTATCACAAGATGTATAAATATATATTTTATATTTATAATTATTTATAGATATAAAAATCTTATCAAATTTGAATTTATTATTTAGATACCTCTTATTTATCTTTATTTATTTCTTATTTATCATTAATATCATTAGTATCATTAATTTATTTAAATATTTAAGATTAATTTTTTGATTGTAAATGGATTAAAGAATATTTGATTATTTATATATAGTTCCTTATATTTTAATATGTTAATTGTAATTTTTAGAATTGTCAATTTTTAAAAATAAAATTAAGCATTTCTAATTATAATCATTAATTTTTTAATTTAATATTTTTATAAATTTAATAAATTAATAACAGATAATTCTGATTATAAGTTTCCAAATTATATTTTATGTACCAAAATGATTAAAAACACAAAAAATATAAAATCTGAGTTATTTTTAGTTGAATCAAGCCATTGATGTTACTCAAATGAGTTTCTTGATAATCTATTTAAATAAATAGTATAATTTTATATACCAAAATAATTTTACCAGTTAAGAGTTTTTATAATAATATTATTTTGAAATCTATAAATCTTGTTCATTGTAATTATATAATGATTTTTACATTTTTAAATAATTATAATTTATTAACCTTCATCAATTTCTAAAGAAACATAAAATTCGAATTTATATTATATTTCAAAAATTATGATTTAAAATTTTCTTTTACAATTCTTTTGGTCATCAAATCATATAAAAATAAAATTTTAAATTGATTTAGATTTTAAAGTATAAATTTTTATAATCCTTATTCTAAATATTCAAAAAGGATAGTATATCATCTCTAATTGTAATTAGTTATTCTTGAAAAAATTAAAAATTAAACATATATGTACATAAAATGTGTTTATTAGAGTATTTATTTCTTCTATAGTATAAACAATGTTGTCTCTCAAAAAATAAATTGGATCCACTTTAAAAGATACTTTTTAAAATTAATTTTAGAATACATATATATATATATATATATATATATATATATATTATGGTTATTAGAATCAAGATATTTTATATATATATATATATATATATATTTATTTATATATTTTTTCTCTTATAGTTATTAGAATTGAGATATAAGTTGATATATTTAAACTTCAAATAATATAATAATTTGATTTATTTTGTAATATTTTATTTTATACTCTATCCAAAGCTTAGGCATCTAAAAGAGAAATTTTCTCTTGTACACTTCTAAGTGTACAAATCCTCTAAAGTCTAAGATTAGTTTCTCTAAAAACACATATCAAGCATCAATTAATAAGTACTTTCAAACTTGTTCTAGTTGTTTAAATTTAATAATTAACTAAGCTAAGTTGAACATCAATAATAACAAGCAAATGTGAAAAATTAAAAAAATCATTAGGCCAGTTAATAAGATTAATCCACTCAACAAACGTCTTAAATATATATATATATATATATATATATATATAACTCTACCGGCATGGTTTCTTAATTTTGTAATAACCTGTTATTAAAAAAAGAAATCAAGTCATATCAAAACTGCAGAACTATTCGCCCTTCAAGATGTAGCACAACCAGTTTAGAATTTTATGAGAATTTTGTTTTCAACAAGTTGTAGTAAGAGTGTGCGTTGAGCAGAGAGCACTCACTGGGCTAACTTTCAGTATGAAAGCATCAGTTAAAAAGGCTTGCAGTGTGCATTTCTGTGAAACACCGTGCAAAACTTCAGCGTAGAAGATGTTTCAGCGACAAGAATGGCACAAACTAAGCATCCCACAATGAAGTATATGACCCAGAGCAGCTTGTGTCAATCATGAGTAGTGTTTACTGTTTTACTTAATGGTACCTCAACTATTGGGCTCAAAAGGGCAAAGCCTACCATTGATAAGGCCCTCAACCTGCAACTAGAACATCACTGGCCAGCCATCACTTTAAAATTACAGTACTTAACCTTCTTCAATTTCTTTTTTGATTGAAAAGCTCTCATAACTGATTTTAGCCGAACTTGAGATAGAAACCCTAATTTCATATTTCCACACCAAGGGGATGGGAACATGGCTGGCACAAATAATAACATGGTCTATGCATCCTACGTGGATATACAATTTGTTCAAAATAACTCAAGAAGGTCACAACTAAGACATGGTTTTGACTTGAGTCCCTTCCAACGGAGTGCATACAGATTCAACGATTGAATAAAAAAAACTAGAACTTCATCTTAATATGATCATGTTCAAACAAGTCCATTCTCTCAACTTGCACAATGAAATCTTATGTTAATGGTGAACCACATGTTCTACTAATACACATGAATTGTAGGAAACTGATGTGAAAAGCTTGAATTCTACATGATAATTTCAGAGGAAACTTAATGACCTCAAGACTTCTAAAAAAAAGACTGAGGCATGTGGAAGAATTTTCCTTTTTGCTGATACAAATCACTCCGGCAGTATATCCATAAGCAGGGGTTTATATCGCCGCAGGCACACAGCCAACCTCCAGCAACTCCAAAGAAGGTTGACGTGTTTCCAGAAACACGATGTCAGTTGCATGTGGTGACAGTGGCAGTGGGAGCAACTTAGCCACGGTGAGCAGGAAAACGTGGTGGTGGCGGTCGATTCAAGGGCCTGGGCCACGAACAAGCGAGATTGCTCCACCAGTGCCGCATCCCTCGACATATCTCGGAAGGCAACAACAGTCTCCAATGCACCTGATGGTGTAAGTGGGCATGTCAATGAACAGACTGCCAACAAACTACAACTAGCGGGATGAGAGCTGAAAGCCGTGACATTCAGAACTGAGTGGAGAAGACACACTGGGAAAATAGATCAGGAAAAGAACGGCGTATGAAAAGGAAAAAGGAAAAAAAAAAAAAAAAAAAAAAAAAAAAAACTGCTCGTGGTTAGTATGCGGAGTCCACAACCAATTCTTTCCCCCTCCGACACCCGAGGTTCCTATAAAAGTACAGTCAATGTATATTACTTACATCCACCCCACACATCTGGAACGCTCCTCCTACACAATCCCTGGATTGGAATCTGCTCAGAGGCCATCTAGAGCAAAGGACCTCGGAGGCTGAGACGTGGAACAGTGGTAGCAGGGTTCAACTCCACGCACGCCTGACAAGGGTGTTGCGGAGATGGTTTCATCGTTACGAGCACGGCCTCGACTCGACGAGATTGATTGGTCGCGATGTAACGATGGGGTTGGCATCCGTGCATCTCATCCTTCGTACCTGCGAGGCGAGCTGGTGGCTAGATTCTCGTATCCGCGGGCGCGTCTCACAAAGTTCAGGTTCGAGGGACTGTCGTCGACAGAGTTGTCACTTTCGACTTCGGCTGGCTGCCCCTTGGAGAGCCGCTGAAGCAGCCGCTCTTGGTTTTGGGCCTCCGTGCGGTAAGAACGAGGGTGGCTCGATCCAGCTTTCCGATCCTGCACAGTTACAAAATGTGAGTGGACAGTCACTGGACGATGCCACCGAAGGAGTGAGAAAGGACTGAACAAATCTTGAAGAGATGGGACGGGATGAGACGCACATCACGGAAGGGGAACTCTTCAGCCTCGAGCATGTGGACGACATGGCCCATTTTGGGTCTTTTCAGAGCGTCTGGGTCCACGCACCGCAGAGCCACTAGAAGAGCCCTCTTCAGGGCCCGCGAAGTTGGCTTCACATCCATGCCTGGATCCGCCACTTCCTCTGAGCGCCTATTGCCCACCATTTGCTTCAACCAATCTACCAAATTGATCTGCAGGTCATATTTGTAACATATCACGTAGATTGCACTGTTAGCCACACGGCCTTCGTGCACCCCACACTTGCATTGAGCACAATATCAGCACAGAAGATTGATTTCTGTTAAGTGGTGACGACTAAAACCAAACGTTCCTACCTCTCCCGCAGCGCGGTTGTAATCCACAGGATCTCGCCCCGTGATGATCTCCATGAGAAGCACCCCAAAGCTGTACACATCGCTTCGCTCATTCAGCAGGCCCGTGTTCGCGTACTCCGGCGCTACGTACCTGAGTGATACAGCCAAAGAATGGGGATGGGGACTAGAACGTTGAGAAACACGCGACATAAAACTATGTGACTAGAAGAAATCGACATTAAATGCCGTTTATAACTGCAACTACTGTTTCAACAATACAATACAATCCAGAGGAGGGCCTTGAGCTTACCCGAAAGTACCCATGACACGCGTAGTGACATGGCTATCGCCAGAGCCAAGAAGCTTGGCAAGTCCAAAATCAGACACCTTTGCGTTCCACTGTGCATCCACAAGAATGTTGCTGGACTTGATATCTCGATGTACAACCTTCGGTTCCAAAGCCTCATGCAAATATGCCAATCTGATCAACCGCTAAAACACTTAGAAAATGAAAGAGCATTCCCAACTATAATCTCAAGGACATGAAGCACGAGCGTGAATTACAAGTGTCAGACTGGCCTCCAAAACCTATAACAATTCTAAATCAAAAATCAAAAAAAAAAAAACGGTGTTCTAGTGCACAAGACAATGCTTGTCACCAACCTGACGTTACACAGCTCACTCACCCTTTAGCTGTACCCATGACGATCCGCATGCGAGCTTCCCATGGAAGTGTGTTTGTTTGTGACAGAGGTCCATGTAGCCACTGCTCCAGATTCCCATTGTCCACGTACTCGTACACAAGCATCCTACAAAAGCCACGAGAGACGAAGTTAGCATTGCACGTGTAAGAGAATTGTGCTGGCACACAAAAACTCCAGGTGGGAAGAATAAATGCTTCACCTGTGAGCACCTTCCGCGCAATACCCTAGAAGCCGCACCAGATTCTTATGCCGGACGCGTCCAATTGCTTCCACTTCCACTCTGAACTCTTTCTCGGCCTGACCTCTGTTGTTAAGGAGATTTTTGACGGCTATCAAGGTGGAATCAGGCAGCTGGCCTCTGTACACAATCCCATAACCCCCTTCCCCTAGGACGTTCGAATCAGCGAAGCTATTTGTGGCAGCTTCTAGCTCCCTCAAGGTGTACCAATGACCCCACCCTAAATGAGAAACCTCTGGCACGGCAGAGACAGGCGAGTCGAGGCTCCTGGTAGAGCCAGAGCCGCCCGACAGACTCAGAAAGGAGCCCTTTTCCTGGTTGGCTTCAAACTTGAGCGAGCTCGGCTTCTCGTGCCGCTCAACAGTGATATCGTGTGTTCGAATGACGACTTCGCCCGCATATCCCGTCTTCTCCCTGTCCCCCTTCCACATGATGGGGTTCTTGAAGCTTGAATGTTTCGTTTCCCCGACATGAACCACGCCCTTCTCCATAGTATCCTTATCCCCAGAGTTCTCACTGATGGTTAGAAGAACGGGGTCAGGCGGCGGGAGGTATGTGTTGCCAGCCCTATCTATCTTCACCTCCTTGATTACCTTCGAGCTCACATCGGAAACCTGGTGCAAGGGAAGCTTGTCCTTCTTTGACCTGCGCCGGGATAATAGCCATAGCCACAGTAGAAAGAGAGTTGCAATAATTACTAGGCAGACACATACTCCTATCACTACCCACAGCTTCAATCCAAAGATGTCCGTTTTCTTCGAAAGCTCGCTTGTGGTGATGTCCGACGCCATCTTCAGCTCTATCAAATACTCGCCCTTCAATTCCTCAGAATACAGGGGTCCTGAATCCTTCACTTGTTCAGATGTACATCGACTTATTAAATGTACTCAATCAGTTGTCCATGTTGTTCATAGCAAAGCAGAGTTCACACCCCCTCAAAAAAACCTACGTAAGGATTGAACCTATCAACCCTAAATGAGTCCAAACAAACAGAGTCTCACTTGTGACCTGAGATGTCCCACCCAAGCGTCCCATCTCACATTAAATGCTTCCAGGTGTGGACAAGCTCATTTCATGAACTTGATGTTGAAGGTAGAATGGGTTTTCTACAGGCAAGCCTATATCCACTCATGACTTGCATTAACTTTGAAACGCTTTGGAAGAAGGTGGTACCGTTGCATAGATCTTCTGGATGCTGCAGCCAGATTACATGCACTCAATCAACACCTGCTACACACCCGTGACGAAGCTACAGTAAAATAAAATGAAGAGAATTTAAATGATCCTCGTTGAAAACAACTCCACAGAGTAGGAAAAAGCTACTGAGATCGCCCACCCATTCTGAATCAGGGAGAAAGAACCCCGACAGTTTCTCAGCAAAGGCTGGGAGAAAAGGGCAGAAACGTCAAGGACGTACGAATTTAATGTTACACTGGCTAGCTCTCAAGAGTGTGGGAGGGCATCGTAAAAATAGTAGAGCAGCGACCAGCTAATCATATCCAATTTGATGAAGGACAGCCAACATAGCAAGATGGTACACTGCCAAGACGGAGAAGGGGGTGATACAAGCACCGACTAAGGTCACCTCACTTAATGGAGCAAAATAGCCGCTTCCAAAATACCTACTACCTCTACAAACACATTAGGCGAAGAATGATTCGTTGCTGCATGTCACGACACAACTGCAGCGCCATGCACCAGTTAAGCTGCGTCTTAACGGGGAGCACCATGCTACAGAGAACGATTACTCAAGCCGAGCTTTGTAGAGACCAGCGAATGACACAAAGACAGGTTCATAGATTGCAAAACCCACCTCAGTATAAACACCGACATTCCCTTCAGTGGAAGTCGTACGAGACGTAGGAGTAATTTGCAAAACATTTCACTAATTGTCACCAGTTCTCAGATCCTCATCCACCAAAAGCAACCACCAATCTGAGTCCGGGAAGACGCACCAAGAAGTGACCGACCACCTCACAGTTGGTCGGTTGTTACAGATCTATTTGCCAAGGAGACCGGGTGACGATGAAACTGTAAAGTTAGCCTAATATTCCAGTGGTAACCAAGTGGTGCTACAGAGAAAAGCTTTCCTCGACTGTTTTCAAATCGATAAACATGACACGGAAGTGTAATCCCTGGCTCGGTGATCTAATTCAGACCACGCATCGTTCTCCACACTGGCGGTGTCATCACCGCAGAATAATATCGACTTTGGGTCATCTTCTTCCCATCAAATGCTCCCTCACACGTGTTCACCCAAAACCACAACTGGAAAGCCCAAATGACAATGGCTTGCATCAATGCCCGCACGAAACTGTCACAAAACCACCACCCACCGACACGCCTTCCTCACAGCTCGTCCTCGAGATGCAATGCAATGCCCTGCGCTTCCCAATGCACCCGAGTTCCGTTCCAACAGTGCGAGCAACTCCAGATGCAATGATCCAAACCGACGCTCAACTACCGATCCGTGGCTACAACCACCTCACCTCTCCCTCGGTTACAAACCAAAAACTAAGACCAACGCTCACCCTCACCCTCACCCTCTCCGCCTCCTCTCCAAACCTACAGCATCGCTGCCCATCATCAAATCGCCGAAGTGACCCATCTCACTCCCACCCACATCATCATCCGCTCACAAACTCCTTCCCCAACACCAATACCCCAACTATCCATTATTCGTGCCGCTCGACACGAGCTCGACGCCTCAAGGCGACGGGTCTGTGTGATTGGCGTAATTCAGTGGGGGCAGTTGGACCCCACTCCAGCGAATCCTCTGCGCAACAAGCAAACCACCTGTGCAATCGATCGAGCCAGACTAGCCTAGAGAGACGAGGAGGAAAAAGAGAGAGAGAGAGAGAGAGAGGGAACAAAGCCGCTCCACTGGCAACAGCACTAACAGATTGGTACCTGGAGCGCACAAGGCCAGGCAAAGAGACAAAGCGAGAAAGAGTGAACAACAGACTATAGCGGTGGTGGTGTCAGAGACGGGGCGCCCTCCAGCTCTGGCTGACCGCCAGGCTACTCGATCACTCACTCACTCACACACTCTCACACTCTCTCTCGCATGCACGCACGCCGCAAGCAGTCTCTTAGCGACGCTCGTCGCGGCGGCCCCGCCAGCGAGCCCGTCACCGCAGCAGAAGTCGAGATTACGAGGCGACACAGCGGGCTGGAGCTAACCACGGCGTGAGTGCGTGCATGGCCGCAGGGTCGCGGCGCATCGGTAGTCGCGGTCGAGCTCGTGATCGATTACGAATCTAGCTTTGTCCGTGACTGAGTGTGCGAGGGAGTGAGTGGTTGTTGCTTGTTTTGTTTGTCTCGGTTGTTTTGCTTCCCGAGGTTCAGTGTTGCAGGTAAGGTTTGAGTGGGTTTTGTTATGGAGGGAAATGGAGAGCTTGGCCATCATTGCCCATGATACATCACTCTGCGTCACTCTGTTCCTTGCTCACAGGCTTTGTCATCCCATCACGTTCCAAAATATTCCGAATTTTTTTTTATTGTTATATATGAATGTTTTTTTGTCTTTTTTGACATGGGTGAGTAGGTGTGTGATTGTTCGACGTGAATTTCGAGATCAGGGATATGGCTGTGTTGAGAATTTTTTATTATTATTTTTGCATTGAGTTTGTGTTGGCAACGATGGCTGATTCTGTTTTTGAGTGAGAAATAACGGGTTATGAAAATGAAGTTGGGTCTGAGGGCCGTATTATTTGAAGAACTGAGACTGATACTAGAAATTGGAGAACTTCCGCAAATTAAATGAAATTTAAAACACAACACGTCACAAGCTCGTGGGTTGTATATTTCTCATATATATATATATATATATATACATATTTACATACACACATACACAGATGTGTGTGTGTGTGTGACTTCAAAAATATTGAATGGTATAGTGAAAGATTTAGATATTTTGGCAGTTTGAGTTAGAAGAATCTACCATGATGTGGTTGTTTACATGCAATTCTATATCCAGCATTTTTCAGTAAATAAATAAACAACTAAATAAAAACATTTCGGATAATTTATAACCAAATTTAGGTAATTTTATTCACAAATGTTAAAAGAAAATGTTTTAAAGTTGCTTACCAATATTATTACTCTTGTCTCCTTATAGACAATATCATTTGTAAGCAATTTATGAGTGGATTTGTGTTAAGAAAAGTTTTATCATGAGACAATAGCATAATAAAGGAACCACTTGTTATTTACATGAGAGAGGATGAGAGGACACAAATTTTGAATTTGTGTATTGGTTAAAATTAGCAAGTTTCATTTATATGACTTCATATTAAGGAAAATCAACCAAAAGTTGTAAGAGGGAATATAAGATGGAATGCATTCCTTTTTTACTCAACAAGAATAATGTTGTCTGCCAAAATTTGCAAAACACTAATTTTACGGGACATTTATAGATACAAGCTCACTTTGAACAACTATATTAAATAAATAAATAAATAAATAAATCTCCGACTGAATAAATAAAATTTATACTTTGGAAGCAGTGACCTTTGGAGACAACATAACATAAAAAAGAGACCATATAATTGCAATATAATTATTTTGAAACATTATGTGTTGATTGTGTATGTGTATAGAAACTTGATTTAGGATTAAACAGAAGAAAAAAAATTATGAGTTTTAGGGTTTCTGATTTGGCTCCTCTGCACAGATGCAATGCTGGAGTGGTCTGGAAATGGGCGACAGAATGAATGCTTTTTGGCATGCCCAAGTCATAAATGTTCCCAAGAGTGCAATGCAACATTCCATCCATCCACGTCTTCATCTACCTCTCATTCATTAATCTATTTTCATCTCTGTCCGTAGTATTTTATTCCCACTCTTCTCTCTCTTGTTACAGCCCATATCAAGGTATTGTTCTGAATGAATAAGGGCTTGCTTCTGGTTGATTTTAATATGTGAATGAAATACTTGTCTAAAGTAGCACCCTCTTTTACTTCTAAATGGAAGTTTATATGGCTTCAAAACTTAAGAGCACTTTAGATTAAGAGTTGGGGTTTATAAATGCTATGAAAGCTTATAGATTGTAGCTTACACCTTATGGATATTGCTCTCTGTTCCTTTAAAATCTTCAAAGATAGAGAGAGTGATATGAAAGTGGCTGTTGTTCTACACATACAGAGCTATTTCATGATAAAGATGTTCAGCACTGAAAAGTAAAAGTAATAACACCAAAAGCTACTTTTAAAAGTCACGGATGAATGAAAAATTGCAAAGCGTCATATCTCATTCAATCAATGTATTTCTACATCCATGTCATGCACAGAAGAGGAAGAAAAACAGGGAACGCATTCACACTGGAGGGTGAGGGAGGAAGGGGGGTGGAGAATGAAAGGTCCCATAATAAGCAAGAACATGTGAGTGAGACAAGTTTGCTTTTGAGAAAAAAGCTGTGAAGCTCATAAAAGTGAACGAGCTTTCGTACCCCTCGGTGGCCATGTCTCCGTCAGTCCATTGACCCATTGAACACTTTCCATTGAATCTTACTCTCCCACCTCTCTTATACACGTATAAGTTAATACCCCCTCAAGAGAGCATTGTTACCTTCCTCCACTCATTGGGGCATTGTTCTTTTTTTATTCTAAAAAAATGGGGTCCTAACTCCAAGCTGTTGTGAGTAGAAGGGTGTGTGACACAGACACTATGTCTCCTTCCCTTCCTTTGGTCAACGACTTACTGATTGAATCCTTCTCCAAAATGTTGCTAGATGGAGCACATTTTTGCACACTTATGATAACAATTTAGTATTGTACTTAATGAAATTGGGTCTAAATTATTCAAAAGTAAGAACAGAATGGCTGTTTTCGTAAGCAAAGGTTCAGCCATTGCATTGGGTGTTCGCCTGTCATACTCCAACTTGGGCAAATAATTCACAAACCTCCACAATGCAGTAAATTGAGCATATCCCCTGCAGACAAGCTTCTGATTTTTCTCAAGTGGAAAGCTTGGTCAATGGAGTGATTGACTTATGTTGGATTATTTCACAACTTAGTTGGTACATGTTAGACAGCTTATTCTGATAGTTGCAGGTTTACCTTGTGCCAGGCTCTTGGTGTTATTATTATTATTATTATTATTATCACTTTTAGTATGTGAACTTGAGATACTCAAAATCTCTGCACATGAGACTTTGGATGTATCATTCATCCACATGTAGATGAAAATTGGTTAGCACATTGCATTAGGGTTTTGCATGGCCAGGTTAAGCAGTGGCCCTGTACAAGGCACACCACAAGATGTGGGGTCCTTCGTCTTGTTGTCCATGGCAACCAACCCTACAACAACTATAGCAAGCAGCCCTCCTTGACCCAGAGATCTCTTCTGTTGGTAGTGGAAAGCATGACCAATGGATCTCAAATCACCCAAAAGTTGACTGGTCCTCTCTTAATGAACAAACACTGGACTCTATCGACTCTGTTTGTTGTGACAGGCACTAAGCTCCCTTGTGGCTGTCATTAAAAAGGAGAGATGTTCAGGCTGTGCTCTTGTTCACAAGTGTGTTCTCCACAGTTGCAAGTCAAAAATAAGGATCTGGGGTCTTTCCTCAAGGACAACACACCCAATTCTGCGCCCAAATCAATGGGCAGTATGTGCAATCCTACCATTACTTTATATATTTTTCTTAATCTTAAGAAATAATTTTGTTCATCACACAAGACTTGTGGCTCAAATCCACAGGTTTTCAGAATTTGTGGCATTATTGCTGAATCAAACCATACAATCATGATTTACAATGCACAACTTTAGATATATAAATATATCTATATATATATACATATTAATTCTACTGTAACGTGTCACATACAAACACATCTTCACAGGTGGAACTATGTTGGATGGTGCAAGAATAAACAGCCCCTTTATATTATTATCATTATCATTATTTTTATTATTATTTTTATATCATCCCCCCATTCCAGCTCTCAATTACAGCACCATGTGGATATTGGCTGTGATGATCTGAATGAGGAGAGTTCCTATCCTGCCACACATAAATAAATAAATATATAACTATCTGAGCTGTTTCCTTTGAGTGGGATATGGACTGAAATGGAGAGGAGGATGATCTGGCAGGGGACTGAAGATGGATGAACGTATAGACGAATTGATGTATGGATGTATGGATGGGTGTGTAGGTGGATGGATGAACTGGCAAAGGCTGAGTTGTAGTTATGGCCCCCCACCAACTTGTGAGATATGTCACCATCTTCTATTACTTCTTCTTCTTCTTCTTCTTCTCATGAGTTTAGGGAATGGAGTTGGGGGGTGGGCCCAACAACAACACTACTACCACCACCCAAGAAAAACAAATACTCGAAAAGGGGGGCTAAGATGTTGGGCATGCTTTGCCCCTTTATTTGCCTCTGGATGATATATGATTGAAGTGGGGCCCTTTGGCCCCCACCAATATATGGATGAACAGAAAGATGGAATTTGTTCATTCGTTCAGATAATGGAGGACTAAACCAATGCAGGAAACCGAAGGGGTGTTGTTGGGTAACAGCCCTTCTCTCCCCACACATGTTGAGCTTCATTACTGTTACTTACAAGCCCTAATCCTTCTAATCATGTCGGAGCCTCTGGAGCTTCTCACAAGGAGAAGAAGGTACTAGAAAAATAATCCATGACAGTTCATTGCTAATCATGTGAGTATGAGGTGGCATATTGAACTTCTTGGAAGCTATTTTAGATCCATAATACAGTTACAGAATTAAATAGTTTTGTGGTTGTTGAGAAAATTAGTTGGACTTGTGAAAGAAATACCAAAAGCTGGCACAAAAAAATCATCCTCAATTTGTGACAGAGTAACATGGCATGTAGCCTCAGAACCAAACAAGTAGCTCACAATTGTGGAATAATATTGCTTTTAGAACTTCATTACTATCATTTATTATTATTATGGATATCTCAGCACACACACACACACACACACATATGTGTATATATATATATATATATACACACACACTTTTACAATTGTGTGTGTGTATGCAAATCAATTACTATGGTGTGTAACAGGTGAATGTTTTGCACTGCTCTGCTTCAAACAACCCTGTCATCCTCCACCCATCATCCAAACAGAATCACAGCCCAATTCATTTTTATTGCAGGAATTGGTTAAATTTGATTGATCCCTTTCATCAACTCCCATCTTTAGATTCTTCAAAGATATCATAAAATCAGGCAAGATGTTGAACCCAACATGGTTCTTTGTTTTGCTTTTTACTTAGTCATTTTTATTTCTTGACCTTTGGAGCTGAAATTTCAAAGGAGCTATTGTCATTGAGACAAGTCACAATATGAAAAGTTTATTTTATTTTTCATTCTCAGAGCATGACTCAAATGTGTGAAAGGTTCCATAACAGAAAGATGCAGGCTCTTAGTGGGGGTACATTATTGTGACCAAGATGCTCTAACCTCCATTCCTGCCATGGCTTTTCTCTTCTTCAGTACACAGTACCTCAAGTGTGGGAGTCATTTGGCTTGTGTAACTGGTATCATGAGACTAGTTTAGACCTGAATTGCATGGTTGGTCTCCCACATTCAGCATACCTTGTGGGTAAAAAAGGACTGCATGTAATTTAAATCCTGGGCTACTGTGAAAAGAAGACCCAGTACAACATTGGAAAACGTTTCAATGAGTTTAGCAGAAAATAGTACCTGGTTTATTGTACAAGTGGGAGGTGCAGATCTGTACCTTGACAAAAAAAAAGAAAAAAAGAAAAACAGTAAGTGGTGATGATACAGTGTTGACGCTGCAGTGGTAGAGAGTGGGATTAAAGCTAAGGCAAGTCAAAAAATAGAAGTGAGGAGGCACGGGAGAGGAAGAAGCAGAGAGTAGATTTAGGGTGTGGACAGACTCAATGGCCGAGGTATGTAGATAACGTTGGCTAACGTCCATACTCAAATACGGCTCAGAAGTGGAGTGCAGCAAAAACAAACTGAGATAAAAGGGGTGATAAAAAAGGAAAGAGAAAAGCATCCTCCATTTTGAAGATTCCAGTCACTCTACCCTAAAGACTTCATACTGCTCTAGGAGCTCCCCATGTCAGATCCAACTTTCACAACACTGTCCCCTGGTGTGATACATTCACGTGCAACTTTTCCTTCGAAGAACCAGTAACGTTTCAAAGCCGTGACGGTCTCCTCTAACTGATAGCGACAGTGTGGTAATACCAGTGGAATCCAGGTAAGGTAACCGCAAATAACAGAGGGTACATGCAAAGTCTGAGAACAGGATGCCACTTTAAAAATAAAAAAATAAAAAACACAAGCGTTATGTGCTCGTAAGGCTGAAAAAAGCCAGTCTCAAATTTACTTCAGATGTCCTTGTCAAACGAAATTGCTCTGATAAGAATTATCTTGCTTAACTTCTAGTTGTAACTATTCGGAGGAGCTGTAGTTTACGTTAAAATATCATCATTCAATTCTGAATCATCCGTCGAAGAGAGAGCTCCTCCAGCTGCCCTTGAAGACGGAAAGTGCAGTACCGCCCATAATAGCTTCAAGCTCTTCTTCTGAGCAAAATGCTTCTGCTGAGTTTCGTGAGGGTAACACTTGCCAAGAATTTGTGTATCCGCATTCAGCTGCTACAAAGGGGAAATCACTGCACAGTAGAGAAAGATTAAAAAAAAATCGAAATTAATACGAGGGAAAAATGATAGAGAAAATAGTCGGAACAATCATGAAGGGATTTTTTGATAAAAAATTAAAAGATGCTTGGGAATAAAATACACATCCTAAACAAGAGGTTGTGTCGATTCATTTGTGTTGCTAGTGCTCGTCCAAAATACAAAGATATACTCATCTCAGGGATTACTGTAACTAAACATTCAAAGGAAAGAACCCACCAACGTGAACACATGTTTCTTTTCACTACGTCATCTTACAACTGCCTAGTTACCTGCCCCACATGAGTCGGTTGGCGCCATATGATTCCAGTAATTGTTTAAGAAACGGCCACGTATCTTTGTATGGGAATGGTTCTCGTGATACTCGAAAAAATGCACTCAGCTTCACATACACCTGAATGATACATGTCAAACAGTGCAAAAATCATGGATCATATTCACAAGGGCAATCCAGATTTTTTAGGCTGTCAATTGACTTGAGAGAAACCAGCTAAGAGGTGAATGAGCTACACGGCGTTGCAAATAATGGAAGAAAGCTTGACCGAAAGTAGAGGTACCTGTGGATATTTCGACAAATTTAGTAGACGGTTCCAAACGTCGGCCTCTTCTTCAGTACTGCGCAAAACCATACAATTTTCGTATTTAGAATTGAGAGTTCTCAAGAAATGTCGGCTTCAGAATTCAACGTCTATGCGATGCAGTCAGCGGAGTTGATTCCTGATTTCCAGGGGTTTAACAATTCATGCCATAAGGTCGGTGATGTGATTATCCACTTACAGTGGAGGTTTGCAAAATCCAAGGTGGTCCATCAGAACTGTTGTTGTTGGGAATTCTCTACAAAGCTCTTCAATCTCATCAATGTGCAACATCAGGCCCTGAAAAAGGCGAATGCTCATAAAAACGTTAAAATGCATCATCATCAAGCATACTATTCATTTTAAGAAATCTATTTCAACTGCTTGCAGATGTATCACTATTCTTTGAATGCAGAAACATATGCCACGTGTAACAGGCTAATTATGGCAAAAGTCAGCAGGCACAAGTAGAAACCTCAATTAACACTAGGCATTTACTAAGGTTACGAAATCTCTGAAATTACAACGGCCTTGAGAGGTCACTTTTGAAGTCCACCGAAACTCAACAGCGAAAGTGACCACCACAACGTAATATCCGAAACAATAAAAGATTGCTTATACCTTGAAGCACATGAAACCAACTGGAACACCAAGCTCTCCAGCTTTGGCGAACATAGCCTTGCCCAATTCATTCGTCATCTACTCATAAACAAAGATTTACAGTAGTTAGTAAATAGTGAGTTATCAAAAGTCCGTCAAGAAGTTCATCTATTTACATAAAATTTTCATGGCCATATATCATGTGGATCTCAATTTAGAGCGTTGAACGATGTGAGTGTACCTTTTCTCCAGAGGGCCAAAGGTAAGGGTTAAACCGCACCCCTTTGAAATTTTCCTGCAAAAGCCCACAACTCTCTTTGAATGGCAGATAGGTAGTGCAATGTAGCAAGACAATTGACCAACATATCCGACGAAGTATAGGCATGCCTTTCCAGCAGTTAACGTTTGTACTGAAAACTAATACAAGTACTCGTCTTACGTACCATACCTCTTTTATGAGGCGTTCAATCTCCTTAGCGCCGCCTCCTCCTTCGGTTGGATCCGCCAGGCACATCCCCACGAACTTATCTGGGTACTTTTGTAACACACTTTTCATGAAGCAAAAGCAATTTTTTTAAAAATAATTGCTGCGCTCCATGTGCACGTCGTAATAGGATAAAGGTAGACAGAATAGCAAAAGCTAGACAATGAAGTATTCGAACAAAAAGGATTAAAATGTAGCCTGACATTAGGCAATTCAGACAAATGACGATTGTAGGCAATAGGATCACGACAGAAACTGCACCACTATTTGTCCCACCGAGGATTCTGTGACCTAAGACTAAATCGAATAAGCAACACCAACTTTATTTCTCAAGACGCTAACTCATACTTGAATACCTGGAGACATACGAATGATCGAACTTGTGGTTGATGGGCTGAATAATAACAGCACCATCCACTCCTGCCTCTGCCATGTTCTGTCAAGACTATTAGCATTCCTTTAACATTAACCCCCCTAGCAAGCTGGAGTTTACAAAATCAAATTTAGAGTTCTCAAGTCGAGTAATATATATTGACTGCAAGTAGATCAATCAAAGAATATATGCTCACTTTCAGCAAAAAATCTGCACTCCCAGGAAGAGTTGGTTCTTGCCCAGGAAAATATGGAAACTTCTTTGCCTGCAAGAATTAATTATAACAGTAAACATTAATCCACAGATTTCACAAAGACTCCATTGGGGTTAGCCCAAAACCTTTCTGTGTCACAGAATGCACTTTACGAAAGAAGAGCATGAAGAGGATCGAGGATCGAGAAGGCAATTTGTGAAACTTGAAAACTATTCATTCGGATGGTACACAAACACGAAATAGGTTGAAAACTATCCAACATAAAACAGCATATTTATTCATTTTTGTGGACTTGGTCTTCTCAGTATGACTAAAAATAGAGGATTACCTCATCAGGTGAGGCCCACACATGAAGGTGCGAATCAATCTTCGTCATTTTTTCAGTCTTTTCCTCTCCTTGAGTGTATGCAACTGACCCACGCACTTTCAATGGTTGCAATTTCCGCCTCCTGATCAATCGCAACACTGACTTGACTTTGAGAAATTTGAAACCACAATAATTCTATGCATCACCATCGAGTTAATCAACACAGATAGCCACATTTCTTTGAGACAGAAAATTGAGGCGGACTCATTAAAGCAACCAGTCATTGCAACTTTGAAATGAGTGGTGACACTGGGCATGCATCTAATTCAAGTTCCCAAACCGGACAGTTCCTAGATTACATGACTTAAGACAGCAACGTGCACCTTTTGTCTTCTGAAGGTTTCACAAATACATCGACTAGACCACGATGACAATAGTACATGATTTAAGCAAACCAGAATCCCGTGGAAGGCTCGGCATTGTAACAGGAACATACAACCAGCCGGAAGTACAGATCAAAATATGAGCAACCATTGGAGATCATTCAAAACGTTTGCATTGAATGAGCGCTCCCAATAGAAAATTCATCTGAAGGGAAAATCTCACTGGACAAAAATCAACCCTCACCTTCTCAAGAAAGCAATCGCAGCACCCGCGGAAATTGCTAGCAGGGCTCGAAAGGGGAGCACCCGCCGAGTGGTGTAATCCGACTTCGAAGCGCGCGCAGCAACGTGCAAATCCCGACCACGAAGGCTCAAACCTGCATGCGCAGTGATACCAGAAGCTGGCGAGATTCGGGATTCCGAAAACGCAGATCGCTCAGCTACGATGGGCGGCTTCGGCGAGAGGCTACAAATTCTTCGCGCATCGAAATTACAATTGGTTAGAGTTGCTGGGTGGTGGAAGCTCCGGGTCAGGAAGCGATGCGGGGGTTGAGAATGGAGTGCCGTGGGAGCACGAGAAGTGCCGCGAGTGAGCAGCAATGGGGGTTGAAGGAGCGCCATAGCCAGGGGGCTCACTGCGTCCATCTCCGTCCCCACCCCCACCCTCTCACTTCCAAATTGGACTTGCTCAGGGACTTGAATCAGATTCCCTATCACGTCCCGGTCCAGGTAACGGCACACCATTTTGAGATCTCGTTTTGGCACCTGCCTAGTTCCATATTAAATCTCGGTTGCGGTGCTTGTAAGTAAATCTGAGCACATTTGTTTCTGTGTAACGACCAAATATACCTAAGGGTTTTTATTAGTTTTATTTTCATCATCAGAGTATTTAAATACTATTATTTAAGCAGCTATGTATGATTGTGATTTTATTCACAATATTAAATGATTTTCATAATATGTTGTAATTTATTTTTAAAACTATTTTTCTATTTATTGCTAGGTAGTAAAAGTACTAGTTACTTATCACAACTTGATAACACTAATATTAATCATTTTAAAAATATTTTCCTTTTGAATATGAAATAAAATAAAATAAAAATACTTTCTTTGTGTTCTTTGTATTCTTAAATTCTAATACATAAAATCTTACATGTTTTGAAGGTTCTATAGAATGTTGTCATGCAGTTCTTAGTTAGATAATAAATATCGATGCAAGAGTGAAGCCTTCTTCACTCTTGTCAACTCCTTTCTTATTTCTAATTTAGTTTCAATGATTTTTAGTTTTTTTGTCTTTTTGCAATAGCTATTTTAATTTCTATTGAATATACATATTTTTTTATTTCTATTTTTTCATCTTATTTTGAAAAAATTCTCACTTATTTATTTGCCTTCATTGAGTTTTTTTTTTGACAAATTGACAATAATACACTTACAATATTAGAACTTTGTTTCTTCTTAATTAAGAGTAGATTACTCTTTTTTCTTGATAAGACATAAGTATAATAGAAGTTGTGGATTACCTACTTTTAAATTGGTATTGTTCTTAAAATTTCTTTTGTTTCCAAGTCCTTTGTTCTACTTATCTTGAGAGATATTAAACATAATCATGATAGAACTTTTGAAATAAAAAATACAATAGCACAAATATAAAAAAAATTTAGGAAGTTAAATCTTATTATGCATTAACTTAATTTACTACTACAAGGAGCAATATAATTGGCAAGAAGTGAAGATATAAAGATGATTGGAGATACTTCAATATCTACACCTAATCATGCTACTCTTCTTATAAACGAAACTCCATTTAAGCATAAGAAAATTAAGAATTGTCTTGCTCAAGAAGTTTGATGGCACAATGTTAAAGTTTTAAAGATTCATCAATCAAATACAACTGGCTATTGAACTTCAATTCTAAAGCTATTCAATTCTAGGATCAAAAGTTAGGTTTATTGATACATTTCTTTCAAGTTCCACATTACCATAATTTTTTTATCTTTTTTTGAATAATATGATTCAATATTGAATAATTTGGAGGCTTGTTTGATAGAATTTTGATCCATATATATATAAAAAATAATACAATTTGTATTGCAACAAATAAGATTTGTATTTTATAATAAGAAAATCAATCTATAATGTTGTATGCTTTATAATTTTAACAATTGACAATTAATATCAAGTGGAATGATGTTGCAATCATTAGCTAATTTTTTTACAAATTATAATATGAAGTAAAGAAATTGATGCTCAACTTACTTGATCTTCAAATATTAAGTTAAGCAATTTACTTTGCTATGAAGTATGACAATTGATCTTTTGAATTTTGACACTAAGTGGACTTCAACATTATTGCAATTTAATGGTAACACCAATATCTTCTTAATACATATATTTAAGAGTAGAAAATAAGAAAATTAATGAAATATATTTCAAATCTCTCACTAAACAAGAAAATATTCATTGTAGATATTCATATTTATATTATGAAAAATCTAAATACATTATTCAATATTGTTCAAAGGAGTGACGCAACCATAAAATGAAAAGTATGGCTATCAAAGAAGATAATATTACAAAAAAAAAGTTTTTTTTAACTATAATAGGGACCATGTGGCTACAATCTTATATAAATAACTAATAAAGGTCTTATTTCCTCATCAGTATCCTTTTTTTGTTTTACGATAGATGTTGATTTAAGATCTAAACATCACAAAGTTTTTGCCTTACTAGATTCAAGAGCTTCAATTTATTTTTTTAGATAAATTATTTGGTAAAATAGATAATATATCTTTAAATAAAAAAACTAAACTTGTTTATGTAGAAGTCATATAGATAGTTGTCCCTTGTCATTTGGAAATGTTCTTCATAAAATTTTTCTTATAAAAGTAGCAAATAATGGTCATAATAGCTTTGTGATATTTAATATCATTAGATCTCTATCAAATCCAATACTTTTATATTTACCATGGCTAAAAAAGTATAATTTTTAAATTGATTGAATTTTTTGTCATTTTATTTTTTGTAGAGTACAATTAAGAGTTTTATTAAGTAAATAGAAAGTCAAAAGTCTAATGCAACTAAATCCATATTTATAGGTACAAGATCTTACTTGCATGCTACAAAAAAAAGATCACCATGTATTCTTTATATCACATCTATTTCTAATAGTAGAAAGACTTCAAGTAGCATTATAAGCCAATATCAAGACTATCAAGATATTTTTGAAAATAAGAATGCAAAAATCTTCCAAAATTATTTTTTGTATGACTATTCAATTGATCTTTAAGAGGGAGCTCAACCACTATTTACACCAATTTATACTTTATTACAAAATGAATTGATTGAACTCAAGAAAAATACTAAAAAAACTTAGTTAAGAATTGCATATGCCATTCTAAATCTCTAGTAGGAGCTTCAATTTTTTTTATAAAAAAAATAAAAAAATAAAAAAATATGAATGTGTATAAATTATCAAAGAATCAAAAAAATTACTATTAAAAATGGATATCTTTTACTTTTGATATTTGAACTTCTTAACTAATTAATAAAACAAATATCTATACAAAAATAGATCTATGAAGATTATATAATTATATATACATCAAAGAAGGATTTGAATGGAAGACTTTATTTCAAACTAAATATGGACATTTTGAATACAATGTTGTACTTTTTGGACTCACAAATGAACAAATGGCTTTTCAATATTTAATAAATAATAACTTTTGAGAATTTTTAGATGATATTATTATCTATTACTTAGATAATATTTTAATCTACTCTAAAAATATAAATAAACATGAGCTTCATATTTGTTATATGTTATAAAAATCAAGAGATGCATGATTCTATGTCAAGATAAAATAGTACATATTTTACACTATATAAGTTGACTTCCTAGAATACATCATTTCAAATAATACACTTATACTAGATCCTAAGAAAGTTCAAACTATTGTAGATTGAAAGATCCTAAAAATGATAAAAAAAAATATCTAATATTTTTTAGAATTTGCTAACTACTATTGGATCTTCATCAAGAACTTACATGAAGTTGCACCTCTACTTACATGTTTAACTTATAAAAAAAAATTTGAGTGGAATCAAGAAGTGAAAGTAACATTTGAAGCTTTGAAATAAGCATTTTTTTTTAGCATCAATCTTGTATCATATCAACTTTTGTAAACCAATTTTTATAGAAACAAATATATCAGACTTTGCTTTAGGTATCATAATATCATAAATGAGAGCAGATGATAAATTTCATCCAATAGCTTTTTATTTAAAAAAAATTCAATAATCAAAATTAACTATGAGATCTACAATAAAGAATTTTTTGCAATTTTGGATTTATTTCAAGAATGGTGCCATTATCTAGAAGATAATACTAGTTTAATTACTCTATATATAGATTGCAAGAACCTTAAATATTTTATGTGAGTACAAATTTTAAATAACCATCAAATCCATTGAAGCATGTTTTTATCAAGTTTTGAATTCAAGATTGCTTATTGGCTAAAAAAATAATAAGATTTATTAAATATCTTTTTTAAATAATCTTATCTTATATCAAAAGAAAAAAAATATAACTTTTGATTAACAATGAATAATTCTCTTGAAATCAAAGAAATTTTGTTTTTGACTAATTAAATTAGCATTAATTATTAGTTAATTTTTTTTAAAGAATTTCAATCAAGTATGTCTTTTGGTCCTTTTATTTATAATATTAAGAATAATTCTTTAAAATCTCATGATATTTTTAAGTTTGAATTCAAAAACAATCTATTATATTTTGAAGGGTGCTTATATGTTCCAAAAGGTAAAACACAATTACAAACTCTTCAAGCTTGCCACAATTTTCTAACAATAAGACATTTTAGATATAAGAAGACATTGAAATTAATTTCAAAAGATTTTTTATAGCTTCAAATGTGGAAGGTAGTCAAAGGCTTTGCACAATCATATGATATTTGTTCAAGACCAAAAATTCCTTGTCATCAACCTTATAAACTTCCACAATTAGAACCTATACTAGAACAATCATGGTCCTTTGTTCTTATGGATTTAATCACAAATCTTTCAACTTCAAGTTCATTTGATTCTATATTTGTAACAATAGATTATTTTACTAAGATGGGACATTTTATACCATGTACAAAATCTATCATAAGTGAAGGAATAGTTAAATTGTTCCTTGACAATATCTATCACTATCATCATTTGTTAAATTTTGCCAATGGCAAAAGAGTTAGTTATTTTGCCAATGCCAATAGAAGAACTCAATTTGTGTCAAGATTTTGGAGAACCTTTTTTCAATTATTGAAGATGGATATAAAATTATCTTTGGCTTTTCATCCTCAAAATGATAGACAATCACAATTGATAAATCAAGTTTTAGAACAATATTTGTAATTTATCATCAATAATTATAAAATGATTAAATAACTCTTTTTCCATTGGTGTAGTTTACTTATTATAATATAATACATTCTTCTACTAAATAAAAATCTTTTTATATTAATAATAATTGTCATCCACAACTTGATGCTTTTGACTTTTGAAAAGTTGATATTCTTGCAGTGGAAGGTTTGATGAATTTTTTATTTGAACTATATGCAACAATGAATGTACAATTAAAAGAGATTCAAAAACAACAAAAGATTAATGCAGATGC